TCCTGGAGTCCAACTTTGGTCCTGGTTTGTCCATGCATGTCTCCTGATGAGACAGAAATTAAAAAGCCAACATGAGCAGGTGATGTTTCAATGTTTTTATCATCAATGTGTCTGGGGGGAAAAATTCTCTTAAAATTATCTCATTGGGTTGAACTTTAAACAACTTTGTAAACATGAGAATTTGTTACATTTAATTTTGCAAATAATAAGCTGTTCATAAGGAAAAGTTTATATATATGTACATATATAAATCATAAAATTAAGATTCAATGTTGTGAAGTATCAAAGTAGCAGTGGTGACTAGCAAAACTGCAATAATTATTTAAATAATTAAAAAAAGCAGATGTTAAACCACGATGATAGTAGAACAAATAACAGTCGACCCAGTAACACAGGTTGTACACAAGTGTAATTACGTGTTTATCTGAAACTGCAGATCCCCAGGATGGAAGAAACGACGAAGAGGAACGAGTTTTACCAACAACAACAACAAAAAAACTACAGCAGTGTATGCTGTTGTATTCTTCATCTTCAAGACCAGAACGAGCCACAGTTTACATTGGAACAGAGGGAGAACCATTTCCACTATGTCAGAGTAAGTCAGACCTCTCTTCACCTTACCCTGCCTTGGAAATGTATAGTGTATACCTGGAGAAATCTGTTGGTATTTTCCAAAATAATTTGTGAGCTAAAGTAACGTAAGCTTCCTAAATAAACATCAGTTTACGTTCAGCTCTGCAATTACGCTATCGGCTCACTGCTATCACTATTACATCTCTTAGCATCGTTAGCTCCCGGCGGCTCTTACCCAGCAAACCTCGGTCATCTGATGAACAGCCATTTGAAACCTCTGCTTCTGAGTCTCGATTTCTATTAACCGTTGTAGCTGAGGATCTGCAACCGCTTCCTGCATGTCCATGACTTTCTAGCAAAACTAAACAAAAATAATCAGACTGTAAGCAAATCCAGACAGGAACCCTGACCTTCACGTGTATGAACTGACGACAGGAAGCGGAAGTAGTTCACCCAATCACGATCATACTTTTCTGGATGTCACTCGTATGCACAATCCATCTACGAATTCGTTAAATAGTTTAAGATTTATAATTTTATAATTAGTAAATAATTATGTACACTATTATTATTTCATTAAAACATGTATTAAAAACGTTTTTGGTAATATTCAAATACGTTTGTTTTCTAAAATATAATAATACATAATAACGTGTAAGTGTTATGCGCTTATTTTAAAAAACAATTTTAAAACCATAAATAAAGTGTTATGAGCTTATTTTAAAAAACAATTTTAAAACCTGAAATTATAAACTTGATTATTAACATTTGATATTCAATATTTACCAAAAATAATTATTCATTTAAAACATGGTTCTGTAGCTTACACATGTACTTCCCACTATTTGCGATTGTTTCCAGCGTGCTGTGCTAATATTGCATGGGTACTTGACATATATTTAGAAACTTCTATTAGATAAGTACGTTAAAACTATGAGTTAATACGAACCAAAGGTAATCTGAAAGAAAGGAAGCATTTCAATCAAACGTTCTGTTTTATGTTTTTATTAATTGCTCACTGTACTTGGCTTTCATTAGTGCAAAACATCTCATTTTTCCACGTCGTCATAATAAAAACAGATAAAAAGGAAAAAAGGAAAAGCATTGATGATCTACAAGACTGTGTCTGTCCGTTTAAACTAGTGAGAAAAACATTTATAGTGTATATACTGTATATATTCACATCACGCAGAGCTCAGTGAAGCTGTGGGTATATTCTTTTCTTCAGGTGTAACAGATAGTTCCCGCAGCCAGGACTTGACTCTGTGCCAGAGCTTCAAAAAACTTTTACAAATTGACATTATAATATAACCCAAGTGAAGTAGTTGTATTTGGGTTTATATGAGGAGCTACTGCATCTCATACAGCAAATCCTGAACAGTTGTAACCAGCTCCTGAAAGTTGGGTCTGTCATCTGGTTTCTAAAAAAAACAAAAACAATTTGTTGACATTACTTCACCATGTTAACCAATTTGTTGACATTACTTCACCATGTTGTACAGATTCCCTGTTAAATATATACATACAATTAAGCTACTGAATACTAAAGGACTAACCAAAAATAGCCAAAGCTTGCTAACAGAAAGGTTTACTACTTTACTTACGTCAGTCCAACAGCTCGACATTATGCCATAGACCTTGTCATTGGCCGGTTGGGGCCGGTAGAGGCGCACACCTCTGGTGACATGGTCCACGATTTCTGTGTTGTTTAGTCGCTCATAGGGCAGTTTACCCAGAGTGTAAATTTCCCACATCAGAACTCCTGCAATATAGTAACAAAAGAGAAATTGATGTTAAAATAAATAAAATGGTGCATTGGGTAAATAAAAGGTAAATATTAATCACAGAGCATATCAGATGAAACTAATTAAACCCATTTTTTCCTCACCATAGGCCCAGACGTCGGACTTGCTGCTAAATTTGCAGTAGAGCAGAACCTCAGGAGGAGACCAACGGACGGGGAACTTGGAACCTGCTGAGCTCATGTACTCGTCGTCTAAGACGTACCTTCGGCAAAGGGACAGGTAGGTTTTTTATCAATTAGTTACTCATTAAAAGTGGAAATACACATTTCCTATACTGGATAGTAAAAAGGTCCGTATTTATGAACCGAACGTTTGCCATTGACCTCCTGAGAACAAGGTTGTCAAGCTAACTTGTAAAGTCCACGTAGTAAGATAACATCCCATTAGTTGGTAAACTGTGTCTAAGCTGTGTATAATTTTAAAATTAAAATCTTTTTGGGAGTAGTTTTACCTGGACAGTCCAAAGTCGGTCACTTTGATGGTGCCCTGTTCATCCACTAAACAATTCCTTGCCGCCTGAAGAGGAAAAAGAGCGACATAATTAAACGTGTGGACTCGTCATTAAAGTTCCCACTCATATACGAAATATACAGAATACAATATATGAAAATGACTAGTCACCAGAAAAAACAGCTATTGTATTATAAATGTACCGTATATACTCGCCTATTAGCTGATTTGCGTATTAGCCTATTCGCGTCCGACCCATGAAAATTGAACCCAAAATGGTGAATTTGTTTTTACAGAAACTCACATGTAAGCCGACCATAATGTTTTCATTTTTTTTGCCGTGGTAAAATGTCTTACTACTGCTGTGTGCGTCAACAAAGAATTCGAGAATTATCTTGGTAAACACTACGTTAAAATTACGATGATTTCGCCAGTGTTTGTTGCAAAATTCAGAATAGATGTGTGATTTGTTTTTGTATTACCGTATATCAGTGGTACAGTTAAAATCATTATTACATATTAATTGTAAATTGTGGGGAATCAATGTATTTAAAAGCGTAATGATATTTTTTGACCGTACGTTCGACTTGGTGTTTCATTGTAAATTGTGGGGAATCAATGTATTTAAAAGCGTAATGATATTTTTTGACCGTACGTTCGACTTGGTGTTTATTATTGGAGATGATGCGATCGATGCAAAATGCTGCCATATATATTATATTATATGGTATTTTAAATTCGGCTTATATGCGAGTATATACGGTAAACTGTCACTAAAGAAAGTAACCATTGGATTATAAATGTAACACGTTCTAAGAAAGTAATATTATGATTGAACCTATTACCAGAGAAAGTAACTGCTGAATTATAAATGTAACTTGTTGCCAGAGATTGTAACTATTGACAAACAATGAAACCCAGAGCTAGGGTAGTAGTAAAAACTACATAGGTTCATTTGCAAAAACTAATGAAAGTACCAACCACAGTGTGTATTTGCATTAATTATTCCTGGTATAAGTTCCAGTTGTGGATACCCATCATTCCCAGTGCTATCGCTTAAATTATTGCACGAGTTTCTGCAGTATGAAAACCTTGTTCTTTGTACTGCTGTGGTGGGATCATGTTGGGAACTAATTTGTGTAATCATTTGTGTAATTTTTACTGTAGCAGAAACGCAAACAACCATTGTTAAGGAGAACTTTTAGTAGCTAAAAACAGCCCTAAAGCTCCTAGCTGGATGCAGATGAAACCTGTGTAAATATTCAGTCAAAATGACAGGGTTAAGGAGTCAGCGCGTCCAGTTTGTCTGTTTCTCTGACCAGGTCTCTGTGGATGTACTGCTGGGACTCTAGGTAAGACATTCCCTCCGAAACGTCTTTACACATCTCTAGGAGCTGCACGGCCGTCGGGTGCTGCTTCAGGCCCTCTCTCAGGTACGTCAGCAGGCAGCCGTTGGACAGATACTCTGTAACGATGTAAATGGGCCTCTGTTTGGTGCAGACGCCGTACAGCTGGACCAGGTTCTTATGGCAGAGCTTCCTAATGGAAACCACAGGAGCAGAAAGTCAAATGACTTGAACCGCCGTCATCAGAAGAGGTACAGAACTTGTTTCTGATGTTAAAAATGTGTCACAGCAAAAAACACTTCCATATTAGTGATTAATGATTTTTTTTTTTTCTGCTCACATCATAGTTTTTGCCTCCTCGATGAAGTCATCTTCAGACATGGATCCTTCTCTGATCATCTTGATGGCCACGTCGTGTTTACCCTGCCACTTGCCATACTTCACTACTCCGAACTGACCCACGCCGAGCTCTTTGATGAAGGTCAGGTTATGAGGGTCGATCTCCCAAATACCTTTAGCACACATTGCAACATAGAGGATCAGCTGAATCAGATTTCTTTTTAAAATGTGGGAGTTATCAAAGAAGTTCACTGTGGAAAAGGTAAATATGGTGGAAACAGCTTTAGCTTCACAATGTTAGCTTCAGTCAGAGCACATATATAATTGAAACTGTTGACACGTCACGTCAAATAAATAAAAATAAACATTTTTAGATAAACGAGCTTGATATAGTTGTCCAACACTTGATTAAAAGCAATAAAATACACAAACACTAAAGAGGTTGAATATCACAAAACATAACAATTAGAAAAGTCAACAACTACAGATAAAGGGAGAAGCAAATTCATAGAGAATAGCGAAATATGTATATATGTAGGAAAAGGAGAAAAATGTAAACATGTGGGCAAACAAATGAATAGAGAATAGCGAAATAATGTAGGAAAAGGAGAAAAATGTAAACATGTTTCATATACGGTAACACCCTACGGCAGTGTTGTCAAACATATGGCCCGGGGTCCAAAACCAGCCCGCTGGATGAATTTTGAAAGTTAAAAAGTGCACAAACACTTCATGTTTGTGTTAAAAACTGCACAAACACTTCATGTTTGTGATGTTCTGTCAAATTATAGTTCGTTGAATATGAATATTTTCGAATATATTTGTTAGTTGAATATGAATATTTTCGAATATATATTTGTACTTTTTTGTGTGAAAACAAAGGAGAAAAATATGGACTTTTAAGTACGTTATGATTGTTCTGATCCGGCCCACTTGGCATCTGATCAGGCTGTACGTGGCCCATGAACCAAAATGAGTTTGACACCCCTGCCCTACAGGAAACCCAGCCTCATCTCCATTAAACCCACCATATTCAAGTCCAGCCGTAGATGGAGGCAACGCTCTGTTCGAGACAATGTGTTTCAGTCTGCTCAACATACCTTTAAAAGAATAATAGTAATAAAAAAACACACACACACACAATATAAATCAAACTACAAAGTCAAAGAAGGATTGTCTTCTGATTTGATTTTTGGCCTCTTCAGACAGCGCAGTTATCATCATCATCACTGTAGATTGCGATGTTTACCTGCAGAGTTGTGTTGGTGGTAGTTTATCAGCTCTGGTATGGTGTTGAACAGATGTTTCTCTGCCAGATAGAACTGTCCCTGTGACGTTGTACAAATGTTGTAATGCTTGCAAATCCCACCTGTTTCTCTGCAACACAGAAAAAAAAGTAATTTTATCATCCATTAATTCATCACTAGCTATTTAAAGAAAAATAGATCATTTTAAAATGGTTAGAGTATTTCTTAATACAGCTTTTTGGTTACTTTCAGGTAACTTTTAGCCAGTTCTGAAATATATATATTTTAAGGTGAAATGTCTGTCTGTCACTTGAGGAAAATTTTAAACACTGTAGTTCACTGTTCAGTGAGCTCACAAAAGCATGTGAGCCCAGAGTTTGCATAAGAATTTACATCTCTCCTCTCTGTCTCAGTTTCTGTGGACTATTTCTGCTTTCACTGCAAACAGTTCTTCTTTTTCACACACCACAGTTTTCACTCACCCTCCACCTTTACTGAACAAAGACACTGCATATTTCCCAGCTTTGCTGCAGTCTCGTATCAAAAAGCCTCCATCTTTATTCTAAAAAAAAAAAACAAAAACAACAGAAAACACATAATAATTGTGAGAAAAAGCATTCGATCCATGAAGGGTATCTACTAAACCATCACTAGAAAATCTCAAGAAAACCACAGACTAGGTCAGAATTTACCAAAATTACCAAATATAGCCAAAAAAAATTAACAAAAAAAACCCCTACAACTTCTAGTCTAATCTTTACTATTGACTATCTTTTAACACATAATACAACCATAACAACAAAAGCAAAGAATACATTCACCAAACACATAAAACTGTCATTCATCACACGTGGGTTATAATATATGGTGTTCACTGTGAGTGTGTGCGTGTGTGTGTGGGGGAATTTACCTCAGTCTTTAGCAGCTTCTCAGCCTGACTGCGGTTCACATTCTTACAATACCAGCTGTAAAAGAGAATTGGGAAATGACTTGATCATTTTTTTTAAACTTCTGTGTCTGTCTTTGCTCCAAGAATTCAGTTTCATTTTGTAAGCTTTACTGTGGTTCGTCTTTCCTTAAAACGATTTGAAACCAATACTCACTTAAATCTTTCCAGGCCATTTTGAACTTCGACCACATAATTACTGGGTATGTAACCTTCTTTTCTGAAAAAATATATCAAATGTATTTATTATTTTTATGGTGTTCTTATAGAGACATTAACACCCAAACCTGTTTTTTTTGTTTTTGTTTTAAACATCTCACCCATGTTTGTCTCTGGCTCTCCACCAGTTGAGGTCTGACTTCTCCAGGATGGTGTACTCTTCATCCTTCCTCAGCTCCATGTCCACCTCTTTACTGGGATTGAAGTCATACAGAGCGATGACCGTCACTTCCGCGGGTGTGGCTGCAGGCTCTTGAGGCTGGGCAGGCCGCGGCCGAACGGACTTCTCCTGTAACCACAGCAGTGGGTTCACGCGTCAGACACACAGGAGGTCAGTGAATATGAGAGCGGAGCACTGGGTCTGTACCTCTGCGGGGGTCGGAGGAAGAGGCTTCCTGGATACTCTGTGTCGGGATTGTTTAGATGGGAAACCTGTGGATTTACATTGTGTAATTTAACAGAATTAAGTCAGGGGTGACCTGGTGTTCCAGTGTGTGTGTGACTGTAGAGTATAAACATTGTATTCATATATATCTCACTTCTTTCCTGCATTGGATACATTTGTTTGTTCTACTGAGCAGTCGGAACTGTCGGCCGGTCTACGCAGAGCCACGTCTAAAGAAGAACTGTTCCTACTTATTCTTAAACCTTTGTTTGGTCAATTTAGAATTGAGCAAGCAGGTATGATGTAAAGCTTAGATGATAGTCACAGATAATCATGAATTTCATTAGAAATGAAGAAAAAGTTATCAGTAATAACAAAGCTACAACATGCAATCCTTAGTATTCTTAGTCTAAATAACCAGTGATGACAATGTTGTACAACATTGTCCTGATTTTTTTTTTATCCTTTTATTAACTGGAACCTGGTCACCATTAGTAACGTGAGTAAAAAAAACAAACAAACAAACACAAAAATATTCAAAAAATCTATGCAAATGAATTAAATATCAATAATATATATAGATAATTATAATTTACAAATAATTATAATTATTCAATTTGGAAAAAAATAAAAATAAAATAAACAAAATATTTTCAGCAGTTAAAGGATTGTGCATGTTAAAAATAAACAAAATAATTTCAGCAGTTAAAGGATTGTGCATGTTATCAGAGGACTGCCAGTTTGATTCCCTTCCCCAGTGGTGTTCTGGAGCAAGCACTATAATGTCTCTGCTCTCCAGGTGCAAAAAAGCGCAGCCGAAAGCTGTGTCTGTGTGTGTTTATTTACAATGACAAATAAAGTAGCTTCTTCTTGGGATAGCTAAGAGCTACATTTAGTTCAAGTCAGTTATTGTAGGCTCATGCATAAATGGTTAAGAAGATCAGATTTAGTCTTAATAGTGTTATTATGACTTCTGACCGTTTCTTCTGTCCAGCACTTTGCAGCCCATGGCCTGTTTCACTTCCTGTTGACAGCACAGCCACACGCCGTCGACCCAGAAACAAGGGTGGAACTTGTGCAGTAGATCCTTATTAAAGCGCACCACTAAACAAACACAGAGACAAGGCGGATAAAGGAGGTGATGTCATAAATTATAATTTTTAACCAACAGGCTTTAGAATCAAATTATGATCTTAATTCTGTAAAAAAAAAACTAGATGTTCATACTGTCTTTAAGCTTCTTTATCCATTGATCTCGAACATCTTCATTTTTGGCAAAGACATACAACGGCCCTTCATCATAAATGATCTGTGGTTAACATAAAAATCAAAAGGTGAGGGAGAATAAAGCGAAGACTTCATCAGAAATACGTACGAAAATGTTTTAGAACAGACATATTTTTAATGTTAGCCAAGAAGCTTAAAGTGTTGAAAGAGGAAACAAAAGTTGGCCAAACGACAACTAAAATTACCCAAAAAAGGTAAAGGAAATAAGCTTGAGTGATAAGCTGGCCAGTTTTTTAAAAAAAGAAAAAAGGTTAAAAGTTAAATAGGTCAGGCTGATGACAGAAGGATAACAAAAAGCTAGATCAAAACAAGCCACAAGAAAGTTTACAGATTATAGAAATGTTCAAAAGAATCAGTAAACAGCAGGTTGACTGAGATAATTTGACAAATATGCGATATGTAAAAATGCTGCTAGAGTTGTTCGATTCTTCACGACTTCACAACGGGGCTTTTTTAAACTAACGTACCTGAAAGGCGTAGTTGCGTTCAGATGGTGAGTTGGGCTCCGGCTGAACCGTCTCCACACACCGAATCTTCTCCAGGTCAACAAAGCCTCTCAATCCTTTTCGTTTCTGCTTCGCAGAAGAGACAGAGAGGAGGTCAGGACAAGGTCTGCTGTTACCACGATCGAAGACTCTGTGTACGAACCCCTTTGTCTGGATCAAAGTCGTAGTAGGAGATTTTCTCAGAGGTCAAGACAAACCATCTCTCCTTGTAGTTCAGCGGCGACGTCTTCTTCTTCTGCTGGGATCGTTTTATAAAGCTCTCTTCCAGAATGATGTCTGACATCATTCAGTCAGAAATGATCTACATCGGAAACAGAAAAAAAAACAACAGTAAGTTCTTCTGTGATATATGAGCCCCACAATATACAGTAATACCTTGGTGGTACAGCTATATTTTCACATCTACACAGATCCTCCAATTGCAACCATCTCTGGTGGAAGTACAATATACAGTAATACCTTGGTGGTAAAGCTACATTTTTATCACATCTACGCAGATTCTCCAATTGCAACCATCTCTGGTGGAAGGTTTCTTCCTGAGGTTGGTTCCTATGAACCCTACCATGGTTCATTCAATCCCGGTGGTTTCCAAAGTGGGGGCCAGGAGACCCTAGAGTGGTATGTAGTTTCCGATGGTAGCTGAACGCACCTTTTTCGCAACTTTGGCATGACATGTCACAATCTGTGTAGACCTGGCGTTTTTTTTTTTTTTTTTTTTGCATCTGTTATCAAGTTGTTCAGCTCCTCCAGCTAGCGTATAGCTAGCTAGCTCAATTCTTACTGTGGATGACGTAAAACTGTGTTTGCGAGACACAAAAGGGTTCAATTTAAAATGGATACCTTCAAAGGGTGTGTCTGCGTTAAGGCAGATGATCAGGGCATACTAGAAGATCAGTTCAGAGGTAAAACTGAGCTCCATGTTTACCCAAAAAATATAATATTGATAAATCTAATAAACAAATTAGTTTTGAGCTTCTGTAGCAGCTGCGAAAGAGAACAAAAGCTCATGGTGCAGCAAAAGGAAAGAGTCAAAAATCAGATGCTGAAACTCACCCTTATCTCACACAGCTGAAGGTCTGTTCGTTTGTGTGTGTAAGAGTGAGCTGTATTTGCACTTTAGCTCAAACTATTTTCAGCTCCTGAGTAACTTCCTTCTACCACATGAAGTGTTCAACCCACCAAAGAAAAGCCTCTGTCACGCACTGAAAACTGCACACGTCTCCATTCCACTGCACACGTCTCCATTCCTTGACTACAAACTACATGTGTGTTTATGTGGGGTTTTTTTTTTTTGAGATCTGATGTATACGCGTGCCTTCACCGGGTCATTCAAAAACGATCAACATACAATACGTCAATGTGCACTCACACTAACTTTGTGTGTAAAAAAAAAAAAGTACCTAGAAATTCAAACTGCTTCTGTGCGTGCTATTCTGAAGAAGAAATTGTTCTTAAGTATTTTATCCTGGTGACTGACGAGGGCAAACTGATGGGGAAGTTGCATCAGGGTTTCATCGTAGTGTGAAGAGGGGGAGGTGAAGAAGTAACAGGGCCAACATTTGCTGCTTATCGGCTTATTGTCATGTTTCAAATTTTGTCGTCGCTCCAACGTTCATCATCGACTTTCTGAAGCGTGCGACAACCCTCTTCAAGAAGAAACAACAAATATACTGCAGAATCTGATCCGACAGAGGAGCATTGTGACGCTTATCTATCAGCAACTGCAGAGCTTCAGCGATAAAAATCACAAGTTAAACACAATGGAAATCACACACCAGGGCTGGTCCAAGGTTTTGAATTAATTAAATACGCCTTCCAGATCTGCCATCTTTTTTTTTTTTAAATAAGATGTTCAAAGGTCAACAGCTGTCCGTTGGCTAACAATTATTCCTAGACTTTTTATTTTTTGATAAATACTTTGTCAATTTTGGCTAACATTAAGATTGTTCTGGTTAATTTATTTCTTGAGCTCCTATGGTGTCAAATTTTTTCAATTTTTTTTTTTGTTTTTTTTATTTATCAAAGTTTTTTTGTGGCCAAGCTAACATAACTATGTTTATACTGTTAGCTGGTCTTTGGCTAATAGAAACTGTTTTTCTGGAGGATGTAATGATATTTCCTTACTATATGATTAGTTTGCATTTTAGCTGTGTTCACAGGAGCTGTACAAATATACTTACTTTGTTTAAAAGCACATTGAAAGAGGTACATCACTTCAAAAACATTTATGTCAATCTTGGCAAATGTGTAGCACTACGGGGCAGTGGTGGCTTAGGAAGCGGACTTGGGTCCGGAGGGTTTCAGGCTCGAGTCCACCAGCTGCCAAGTTGCCACTGAGGTGCTCTGAGCAATGACAAATAATTCACTTTCAGCTGTTACAGTTTGGTGAACTTTCACACATTTCTTGGCAAACATTTAGCTTCGTTCTGGCTAACCTTGAGCTATCGTCACGCTAACTTTTAGCATGAAACACAAGAATATCATGACAGTCTAACAGGAACTTGTTTCCTGGTGTTTTTTAACAGATAAGCAAGATACCCTTGAGACAGGGAGAGAGAGAGAGTGTGTGCTTGTCTATGTTAGTTAGGGACAATAACAGAAACTACTATTTTAGTTAGGGACAATAACAGAAACTACTAGAAAAACACACTATACTTTCCATCAAAATGTAACTAGATATTTGCAGATAAGTCAGAGTTTCACTTGAATACAATTGTATTTCTTTCTTTATGTCCCTCCCAGTAGCTGCTTAAATATAAACCTTAATTTCCTCCGAATGAAATAAAGCCAGTACAGCAGGAGAACTGTGTGACTCACCCGACACTTTAAAAAGAAAAGTAGCTGCAGTTGTAGATGCGTGGATCTTGTTAATAAGAGGACAGGAATCTTCACTTCACGTCAGTCGCTGGTCTTCTATTGAATGTGTCTGTGTGTGATGAAACAGGCTGACAGTCACCACAGAGAGGAATCAAACTCTGCAAACTTCCCCCTTTTCTTCCTGCTCATTTTCATATCAGCCCTGTGGATAGCTGTGCAGATGAGCAGAGGAGAGTTCAACCTTTTTCTTAACACAGGAAGGACTATATATAGTAAACATGTGTGTTTCAAACTACCCAGGACAACCCATTGTGATTCAATGTTTTTTTTAAATAGATTTTCTGATCATACAATTTTATTATTGGTGATTTATATAGTGACGAATACACTGTTGTAGAAGAAATGCTGAGTTTTTATTGATTTATTTATTCATTGTCTTCTTTCATTCAGTTAAAAACCATACCAGAAATTAACATTTTAAAGTTTGTATATTACTTTTTTTTTTAATTATTTAAATGTTTTACTAATTACATTTTATACATTGGTACACTTTACATTTTTTAACCAAATATTTTAGGCAGCTATTTGTCTAGATATAATTTTCAAACTCCATTCATAATTATTTTTGTTAAATATCAACATTAATGAAAATAAAAGATTATTTAATTATTCTCACTTAACACAGACTTTATTTTATCATCGCAATAGAAACACAACCAATCTCTTCGTGTCATGAGTAGAATTAACCTTTTCTAGACGCTTTTATGGAGCTGTGTTCTGTAGCTGTTGAACTTTTGAACCGTTTTCTTTGGAGTTTTGACTGACATTTCCAGCATGTGTTAGCGTCCGACCAGTTGCTTCCTGGGAAATTACGTCATATGATGAAGCGGTCGCCCTCGGTACAGTGCCTCGTAAGTCGATATGACATTTACGAGACTTGGGTTACGTGTGTAATTTGTATAACTCTCTCACATCTCTTCCAACTTTTTACACATTTTCCTATATCTTCTTGGCTTAATTTAACCAAAGTCCATCTTTCTTTATGGTTGTGTTTTACGAATAATTTACTCAAGTTTTTGAATAGTAATAGCAATAATACTGTAGGTGTATAATTTTACAATATACATAGCGGTTCATCCCGTACCGCTAGAGGTCAGAGTAAAGAACTCCAGCCCCTTCTTTGCTCATCGTGACGCTACATCAACAACTTCTTCCGGTCTCGTTCTTCCTCTTTTCTTCTGCATCGGGGCCGCAGCCATGGTATGAGATTTTAACACAAGTACATTTACCTCTATCTAACCCAATCTTTACATATGAAATGCTCTATGTTTATATAGTTAACAGAGAAATATCCACAACAATTCTGCAAACGCATAGATGTAGATATTTACCGCCTGGTGTTTATTTTACCTAGTTTTTGTACTTAATCAGCCACTGCTGCGTTAGCATGGTAACGTCCGTGTTCACGTCGTCTTTTCGGGAACCGGCCTTTTTGTAAATAACAAAACCGACATTGTGGCAGTCACTGAAAAATTGTAGATGTAGTTTATAAAAAAAAAAAGCCCACTGACAATCGAGTGAGGTGCGTGTACACTGGTTCTATTAGCCCTATGCTAACATCTGCTAACAGCGAAGCAATACGTTTAAATGCACACGCGTTTATTTATTGTCCCGAAGTAGTTTTGTCCTTAAAACAACTCTGTAATAGTCTGAGTGTCTGTATACTTTTTCTTATCTACAAGTTATTGTTACAGTATTTAGCTTTGAGCTATTGAATAGTTGTTAGTTAACCTGACCAATGTGATTTTGTCCAAGTTCCTATCAATTAAATTCCAATCCATTCGCCAGAGAACAATTTTCATTCAGCATTAAATACGAAAATATTAAATTTTATCCAGTTAGTTATTTATTAACAAACGGTCATCTTTATTCATTAGATCATAGTGCAAAATCTAAATACAAGAAGATTTTTTTATGCTATTAAAGATATGAAATTGGTACTTGCAGTAGGAAAATGTTTACTTGTGTACAAAAGCACGGTGTATCTGAGTTGTACAACATGTCACCAGTTTGTCTTCCCTTAAAACTATTCCCATCTGAACAAATACACATAGTTTGTGTTCTGGAATGGGTATAGTCTGTTAGCATATAAATGTAAGACTTTCTTTGCAGTATGCATTAAGAACAATTGAGGAATTAAACTTTCATCAACAATAGTTGCCCATTTTGCTTTTTTTCCCTTGAGCTTCAAAAAAAATTAGCATGAACCTAGCATTAGCTATAGTGGTAGTAGTAACTGCTTGTAATGCTATAAACTAAGGTCACTGTGTTGCCTAAAAACCTCTTTTTGGGATGGTGGTTTTAACAGATTCTTGTGTGTTCTGTTCTTCAGGTCAACGTCCCGAAAACACGCAGGACCTACTGCAAGAAGTGCAAGAAGCACCAGCCCCACAAAGTTACCCAGTACAAGAAGGGAAAGGATTCCCTTTACGCACAGGGTAAGACAATCTATCTTTGTCACTGATTTATTAGTGTAGAAAATGACTGTTTTATTAATGTTTAAACTGTAATTGATTCCAGGTAAGAGGAGATACGACAGGAAACAGAGTGGCTATGGTGGTCAGACAAAGCCTATTTTCCGCAAAAAGGTAAGTCTTTCCTTTCTACTGACCACACAACCCTATGACACAGAAGATGATTTTCTTTAATACATCTTCACCACAGGCAAAGACTACAAAGAAAATTGTGTTGAGGCTGGAGTGTGTGGAGCCCAACTGCCGATCCAAGAGAATGCTCGCCATCAAGAGATGCAAGCACTTTGAGTTGGGTGGTGACAAGAAGAGAAAGGTACTATTTTTGTTTATTTGTAGAAATTAAAGACAACAATGCTTTCTACAAGGGTTTTTTCCTAATGAAACCTAGAACTTGAGACGTCCGTCCTCATAGTATTTTTTTTTTCTAAGTAAAGATTCAACTATTTTTATAATTATGAATTATGTCATTATGAACATGAGATCCTTTAGTTTGGAAGTGGAAAGTTTTATGTTCGATAATGTATATTTAGCTCATTTTGTGATAAAGGTGATACAAGTGTAAATGCATGTATTCAGATTCAGAAAACCCTATTATTCCCCATGCAAACCAAGCACTTTAGTGACACTTTAGAAAGTTATGATTTTTACTAATTTTTCTTTTTTCTCTTCCAGGGCCAAGTCATCCAGTTCTAAACTGTTCACCAGCCTCCTGGATGAAGTTGTCACTTTTTTCAATAAATGTGGGTAATTAAAATGACCTGAGTCGAGTCTGTAGCTGTCCTTTATTACACTGATCATGAATTTCTCAAAGTTCATCTTTGTTTAAATGATAATAAAAATATTTGCCAATTGGCAGAAAAAATGCTAAAAACTTTGACATACAAAATATCACCAAAAAAGCCAATCTTACTATAATGAAAACATGCTAAAACATTAAAGTCCCAGAAATAAGTCAAAATGCAAGTTTGTGCCCCAAAACATGCTGCTAAGTGAATAAATATCACCTAATACAAGCAAGACTATAGTCTTACTATTGTGAAAAAAGCTATTAAAAAACAGTCCCAGAGATGCTTCAGAATGCATGTTTATGCCTTAAATCATGCTGCCAAATGAATAATTTGTGCTAAAAACTGCAAAAAACATCTGACACAATATATCACCAGAAGCAAGCAAGACTTTTTAAATTTTAATTAATTAAAAATTAATTAAAATTAAAAAAAAATTAAAGACTTTTTGTTTTAAAAAAATTAAAGCCTTTTTTTTAAGTAAAACAAGTCTTACCATCAGGAAAAGAGGAGGGGCATAATAGACTGCTACAATTTAGAAACTATAGTGTGAGTCATGTCTTTTTAGAGAATGGTATAAAAAAAAATTCTGCAAACAATAGATATATGTGAGGTGAGTAAACTGTAGGTTTATATATAT